AGGGGTGCGGCAACCTCGCCATCATTCCTGTGAGCTCCTGGCGGAGCAGTTCTTTAATTTCAGCCCAAGGGGCATGGCCGATGGCGACGGGCCAATACTCCCTGGGCCCCGCACCCCATTTGGGGCGTGCGGAGGCTGCGGCCTCAACACCAACTGGGCATCACGGATTTCATGCAGGTGCGGCAAACCAGCACCGCCCAAGGTTGTCTCAGCGGCGCGCAGTAACGCCAAGCACGCGCAGAACCAGAATAGTACTCAGACTCGTCCTGCTGGCGGTGGGCGCCCTGTTCGGCGTGCTCCAGGTGCAGCTGGACGACACGACCCACTTCAAGAGAGGCTCGATGCCTTGGCCAAGAGCTTCGAGAAGTTCTTCGGCGGTGGTGGGAACAACGGCAGCAATGGCAATAGTATGCAGTCTCCTCTTGCTGGGATGGGTATGGCGTCTTCTCCTCCAGCACAGGAGACGGGCAAGGAACAGCAACTTCGTGATCAGATCAAAGACCTTGAGAACACCATTCGCATGGTCGAGAAGTGTGGTCCCAATGGGTTCCAAGCAAAGGCAGAATTGGATAAGCAGCTCAAGGAAGCGCGTCAGTCCCTCGCTGAATGCAAGCCCGCTCTGTCTCAACACACAGCCATCGGTCACAATATCATCAAGGCCGAGGCCACCCAGCGCAGGTTGGTTCAAGACGTTCAGAAGCAGCAGCTGGTCATTGAACAGGCGAATGAGAAGCTCGACAGTCTCATGGCACAGCAGGCAGCAGTGGCAAAAGAGTTGGCGTGGCTCAATCAGAAATTGGTGGAGACTATGCCAGCGGCGGTCGAGCCTTCATCGACTTGCCGTATCGATTTGGATTCTATTGAAGGTGACGATAAAAAAGGAGATGCAAGAGTTCATGGCGTCTCCGGCGTTTGCCAAGTTCAAGAAGTTCATGGATCAGCAGAAGGCGGCGGCGACGAAGCCCGCCCCCCTGCATCACCTTTCGTCGTCGACGGAGGCGGAGACATCGAGATGGGGACGAGCGACGAGCCCGTGGCCTCACCCTTTATGTTTCCTCCGCACGACCCTGGTCGGCAGGCGGTGCACCAGAGTGTGCCTGATCTCGACCTTGACCTTGATGATGCGGAGTTAGATCAGGTTTTCTTTAGTGCACAGCGCATTGACAAGACAGAATTCGGGGAGCAGCTGCGAGCACTTTTTAAGAAGCAGCGCCTGGGGTAGCGTCACCCCACCCCCACGGTGCAGTGGATTTCCTCTGTCGCAATTCGGCACTCCGATTCCCCCGCCTGCTCCTCCGCCTTCTGACCTCCCAGGGGTGCTTGGCGGAGGCGAATGCATTGAGTGTTACAACGGAAATGCCTGGAGTGCGTTACGAGACCGTCTGGCGACCACCCCTGCCCTCATCGTCTTCGCCCAGGAGATAGGCGTGTTGGAGGACATATTGGGTGAAAAATGCGATGCGGTCTTCAAGTTGGGTTGGAAAATGCTTTCCTCACCCTCGGTCCCTGGACAGTCGGGTAAAAAAAACCGGGGGCTGCCATATTGGTCAGAAAATCTTCGGGGTTGAGATGGCCAACGACTGGTTCAGGCATCATCGTTCCCAGTCGAATCATCAAAGCTGTGTCGATATCCCCTCATGGCCCCCCCTGGCTGTTGCATGTGCTTATTTGATTTCGGGTCTTGGGTCTTGGAGTCCAACCCTGGAATGCTCCAGGAAATCGGATCTCGGCTTGAGAAGGGGCATCTTTCTCTTGTAGGAGCTGACTGGAACATGGAACCCGGTCTGGTGGACAGCACAGGATTGCCGAGGCGCCTCGACGCCGCGCTCTTTGTGCCCGAGCAGCGCTCCTGCTTCTCGCCCAGTGCGCTCATGACCATCGTTTTTTTTCGTGGCCAGCACGAGCATGGCCAGAGCGATGGAGCACATAGGAGCTTATATGTCGTGGACGGGTAGACCCCACAGGCCGGCTCTAATTAAGTAAAGGGACACAGCGGTGCATTTATACCAGCTTAATTACCACACCCACCAGAAGTTACCCGTGGAACTCCCTGTCGGCCCCGCCCCCCGCCCCCAGGATTGGACGTTTGCCCGAAGTCTGGCGGGGGATTCCGCTGATGCTGCTATCCACCTTCCTGTCGGGAGGGCCTGGGCCCAGTTAACTCATGCGTGGAAAGTCTTCGCCAACGCGTTTGAGCTGGAACTCGAGAGTTTCCTTGGAGTTGACATCGTCAGTAAGGGCCACAAAGGAGCCTTCTTGAAGCCTCGGTGGGTCCCCATTTTCGAGCGGCCTAAGAAGGCCACCAGGGATGAAGTTTCCTTGGGATGGGTTTGGCTGGCCCAACATCTGAGACTTTTGGAGTTCCCCCGCGACTGTGCGATGCCCAGGGTAGCTCCAGGGCCGAGCCTAGCAGATTGTACCAGCTTCAGCAAGATGCGGATTCGCAAATCAAGCAGTTACAGTTACAGCCCGTGCCAGGCGAAGGATCAAGTGTCAGGTTGGGCGCGACGATCAGGCAGGCGCGTGAGCTGCTTTCCAGGTGGCCCGCCGCCTCTTCCGTGTGACTCCAGGATGCCCAGGAGTTCATTGACTCCTGGAACGACGACCTGGAGCTCGCGCAAGCCACCCTGGACAGGAGCAAAAAAGAGCCCTGGGATGAACGGCATGAGAAAGCGTTATCTGGGGGGGCCAGGGCTATGCATCGCTTGACTAAATTGAAAGAAATGTAATCCCACGGTCGCCCAGACCACCGCTGGACAGTTCACGAGTAACCCACGTGATGTTCTGGATGCTGAAAGTAGGTCCCTGGCCAAGTTCTGGCATGCCAGCGCCTCCTCCGCCCGAGCCGAAGTCCTGGGTGGGGGCCATCTTCCTCGGGCCACGGCGGCTGAGATTCGTGCTGCCAGCAACAGTTTTTTTTTAATGACGTCGCAGTCTTTGGACGGGCTGCGCCCTCGCCAGCTGTCTTTGGTCTCTGACGCTGCCCTGGACACGCTCGGGGCCATCTTCCAGGCCATCGAGTCCCTGGGATTATTCCCTAAACAGCTGTTCTGGATGTTGCCCCCCCCCCTCCTCGATGAGCCCAGGGGGGGGGGGGGGATCCTCTTGCGCGCGGGACCTGTCCGAGTTTGGGAAACGCCTGCGAAGACCCCACCTTCTGGAGTTGAACTCCAACTACCCCCGCCGTTTTTGGGCCTTCGGGCCAGGGCGAAGTGCCGAAGATGCTGTGTGGCACCAGGCTGTCCACGCCGAAGTGGCCGAGGCTAAGGGCAAGGTTGCTCTGGGGGTGACCTGGGGCGGGGCGAAATATTACGACATTTTCGATTTGGAGTCGCTTGAGACTAGAGCGCCCGAGTACGGTTTCAATGAAGTTACTGTTAAGACCACGTACAACTTCTGGAGGGGCCCCGTATCCTCAGGCCCGGATGCATGTACAATGCGAACCCCTACTTTGCCTGAGTGGCCTCCCGGCGGGGGGCATCTTCAACGACCTGTTCGCGCGGGTCTACAGCATTGGCGCCTTCGATCGTTTTTCCAGCAGCCACCCGCAGGTTGCGCTTTCCTCGTGCGTTGACGACGATGTCCTTGCGACTGAGGGCAACACGGAGGCCGAGGCTCTTGAGAGAAAGGTCCAGGCTTGGGCGAGCATGTTTGTTGTTCTTCGGGACGAGCTTAAAGTCGGGCTGCAAGGTGGCAAACTCACCACCTTCGGCAGTTCTTTAGGCATTGCCAAGAAACTTGGAAGGTTGTTAAGACAAATGGCGGGCCACGTCACGAATGGCACTGTTAGCCTCGGAACGGATCTGGCGCCTGGGCAGCGACGATCGACCAAGAAAGCTCTTCATAAACGTAAGGCCAGGTTTAGGTGCATGTATAAGAGGCACAGGGTGTTGCAGAGATATCGTCGGAGCTTTCCCAGACAGAAAGGACGCATTGGTAAGATATATTTGGCGGGCCTTCAGCCTGCTGCTACGTTTGGAGCTGCGATAGTTGGCATGAGCGATCACGAGTTGCAACAAGCGCGTCGTGTCATGCTGTCGCGTCGCGTCCCACGTCATCGAGGATGTTCGCTCACTGCTAAGCTTTGTTTCGGAGGAGATCCTGTCTGGAGGACAAGTGTTGCGCCGGCCCTGCACTGGGCACATATTGCGTGGCTTGCGGTCACGGACCCCGTCACGTCGCATTATAATGTGAGGCAGATTTGTCAGATGTGGTACGCGGTGCCGCTTGATAACCAGGTTAGTTGGAGGAATTTCCGAGGGCCGATTCAACGCGTGCACCTGTCGTTATTCAGAGCCGGATGGTGCGCCGCATCTGCTCTCGCGTGGGAAGACGACTATGGCAGAGAAGGTCATGTGGCCGATGCGTCTCCGTCCATGGTCGGTCACTTGCTGATGTTAGCCACCCAGCGAGGTCATGAACGTAGGCTGGCCGCGCATTCCCCGTCGCTTCCTGGGACTAGAGTGGTTGTGGATCCTCTCCAAAAGCTCCTTGGCCCCAGGTCCAAGAAGCTTACCCAGCGGGAAAAACACATGGGCATCACTTGCTTTTGCGGAGGCGCCTGGACGCGTGCACGAGCACGAGCTTCAGGCTATTCCAGCGACGGGCGTAGTCCTCTTTGCGGGCAACCTGACTCGGTCAGGCACAGAGCATGGCACTGTCAGCACCCTGAAGTAGTAGCTGTGCGTCTAGAAGTGGCCGGGGGTAATGAAGGGTGGCTGCAAGAGACAGCTGAAAGTGATTGCAGGAGCTTTTGGAATGAGCTGAAGATGGAACACCCCGAAAACAGCTTCCTCTCACACACACACACACACACACACACACACACACACACACACACACACACACACACACACACACACACACACACACACACACACACACACACACACACACACGCGCACGCACGCACGCACGCGCGCACGCACGCACGCACACACACATACACACATACACACACACACACTCACACACACACACACACACCGACCCTAGCCCTCGCCTCTTCACCCCCCAGAAGGAGGCGGTGTCTTGGGGGAGTATTGATTTAAGAGGATGTGATGTTTGTATGGGCGGATCGTGTGCACGGCACACAATTCGAGAGCTGTCTAGGGCAGCGTACGCCTGGATCTTTTTAGGCCCTGAAGAGGACATTGTTGCCTATGCCATTGGAACTGCGTGGGGCGTCCTGCCCCAGACGCCGCAGGCGGCGGAGCACCAGGCAATGTCGCTGATCCCGTTCTTTGTCCCCTACTTTGGTGTGAGATACAGTGGCTGTATGACGGTAGTGAAGTTATGAACGACCGATCCCTCCCACCAAGTGGATCGTCGACATCGGTATGCAGGAATGAGGAGAGGAGCAATATTACACGAGAAGCGGGATCATGTGCCTGAAGTGCGTTACACACCCGCCCATCGTGCGCGAAGTGTTATAGATTTGCTCCCTGACGGAGAGAGAATAATCGCTGTCGGGAATTGGAACGCAGACGCCCTCGCCAAGCATTCCCTCTCCCTCCACCCCTCGCTTTCTTTCTCCACATGTTTCGGAGGTGCTGAGTATTTCCGAGGTGCTGAATATTTCCTTGGACAAGTTAGCCTTCGCGGCCCGTGTGCTAGCCAAGGTCCTGTGCGTTTTTCGTCGTGAGAAATTCGAACGCCCTCCCCTGGGACCTCGGGCAAGGTTCCTCAAGTCTGGGGGGTGGCACTGCTGGGAGAAGCTTGAAGATGGCAGAGCTAGATGTATACGGTGCCTCCTACTTAGCATAGGCGCTGAGTCTAGGCCTTTGCTAGGATGCCCTGGGCCGAGCAAAACTTGGAAGGGAGTTTTCAGTTTCGACATGGGCCACATTTTGGCCCACGTGGTTGTCACCAGATCTGACCAAGCGGGCAGATCGAGCGAAGCGGGTTTGCACTTCTGCACTACATGCGGTGCATACACCGCACGACGCTGTTTTTTGTTGGGTCGGAACTGCCAGCAGCGGAAGATGGCTGGGGCGACCATTGCATTGAAGAGAATGTATTCTGGCCTCCACCCTCACTCGCGCGAAACCTCCCGCGAAACCTCCGCGCGAGTATCCCAGTCGTCGAGGCGAGGAGTGGGGCATATGCAGTATGCAGTTAATCTACCCCCTCCTCCGGAGGTCGGTCTGATGAGGACGAGGCTAAACAGCCTCCCCCAGACCCCTCGCATGTTGGCTCTCCTGGAACGAGTTCGGGAGAGAAGAGGCGGCCTCTTGAGCGGCCTCATCCATATAAATAGATAACCTTGGTCCTGCCCCAAGCCTGCAGTGCAGTGATCTGTGCCGCGGCCTGCTCGCTCCTGAAGCTGTGCTCTCGTTCGCCCGTGCGCCCCACTGTTCCCCTCCGTCGTCTCCCCCCTGTCGTGTCCCTCCCCGCTCGTGCCCCTCTCAACCCGTGTTGCGCGCCCGCTGCGGGCGGACCCGACGACGTGGCCATGGCGGTCCCTCCGCTTGCGGGCCCGCTGTGTCTCCCCGCCGCGGCGTCTGGCGGCCGCCGACGCCGTCTGTTTCAACTTCGGCGATTCTGTCGGGTGCATCAGGTGCGTCCCCGCCGCCGCGCGGGCTGTAGCCGCGGGATCGAGACCTCCTGCGTACGCTCGTTTCCTCCTCCTCCTCCTCCTCCTCCTCCTCCTCCTCCTGCTCCTGCTTCTCCTCCTCCTCCTCCTCCTTCTCCTCCTCCTCCTCCTCTCCTCCTCCTCCTCCTCCTCCTCCTCCCCCTCCTCGTAGTCATCCTTCTCCTCCTCCTCCTCCTCCTCCTCTTCCGCCTCCTCTCCTCCTCCTCCTCCTGGGGGGGTGGCGACGCCCCTCGGTAGTGCCTGGCTCCGCCCCGCTTCCCCGCCGGCCGCCCGCCAGGCCCAGCAGGAGGTCAACGCTTTCGAAGCGGTGGCGGCCCGGGCCGTGGTGCAGGCGGGGCCCAGGGAAGTCGGGGGCAACGCTGAGGGGGGGATAGGCACAGGGGGGGATGCATCGACCCCCAATCGCCCATTGATCGCCGATAGGGGCCCGATAGCCCCAACTTGCCCAGGAAGGTACGGATTCACTGTCGAGGGCTTATCGCCGATCTATCGGCGATGTATCGATGATTCCAGGTCAATGCATCCCCCCCTATGCCCATCCCCCCCTATCGTTGCCCCTCAAGGGAAAAGGGGTTTCCAGGCGGCGTAGAGCTTCACATGTACAGATCAAAAGCACGGCATAGTTACGCAAATTCACGAAAGTGAGGCGCCGCTAGCACTACCGGCCCCGTGCATGCGTTGTCCTCTTACCCTCTGTTTCTCTTCCCCTTCTCGTTCTCTTGCAGTGTCTCTTTCTCTTTCTTATTCTCTTTCTATGTTTTGTTGCTTTCTCGCTGCTGCTGCAGCAGTTTCCGGATTAGGGTGGTGTGGCGGAAGAAATCGAAGGAGAGCGAGCGGCCGAGCACAAACTTCCGCAGCTCCGCTTCACATGTGCCCAGACGTCCGACGATGCGATTTTCAGCCCAGGCGTCTTTTCCTCGACCGGGGCCCTCGGGGGCCGTTTTCGAGCCCTGGGGCCACCGCGAATGGCTCCGGGAAGACAAAATACCCCCAGGGGAGCTGTCGGGACTTCTGGGGCCTTGAATTGAAATACGATCGAGGAATTACATCAGCGGATGTCAAGGCGCGTGTGTCGACCTGGGCCGGGCCAGTCTTGGGCCCAGGATTAGGCGACATGCCACGTCGCCCCCAGGAGTGCGAAGATGATCGCGCTTCGCGCGTCGCAGCCACATCATGTTGTGTGCTCAGGTCGGCAAGTGGCCTGCCCCGGCAGAGTCCAGCGAGGGACGGAGCGTCGGGCCGATGACAGAATATTCAGTCGCTGTGTTTGGTTTTCGTTTTTTTCCGAGAGGAAGGGAAGGGACGGAGGTGTCCAGGTCATCGCTCTGATCTCCGCATCGAGAGAACGCGAAGGGCTTGACGACTCTTCTCTAGTCCACTTGCGTGGATCAGGCTAGATACATCGATGCAAACCAGCGCAATCCTATTCAAGTCCAAACATACAAGGACATATCTGGATAACTCCAGTTCCCCTGCTCCCGGATATTGCAGACGGTTTCAGCCCAGATTGGGACCCGGCGAGTCCAGGGAGCCCGTCGAGCGCTTGAATCGTGGTTCCGAGAGGAAGACTACCGCATAGAAATTGGCCTAAAACAGTTCCCTTCGGATCGTACCTTTACAAGTTTGACCTCAATATATGTTTCCCCTCGGGCCGTGTCTTTACATGTACTCCTCTCTCTCTCTCTCTCCAGGTTTGCACTTGCCCATGATGGAACATGGTGAGGGCTGCGATGTACTTGATCCTCTGGATGAGGGCTTCGATGCGCCTGATCTTCTCGAGATGTGGTATGCGGATCGCCGGCACCCGCTGGGCTTGCTCGAGGTGCTCCCGGCCCCTCCACGGCCGGTCTGCTTTCGGAGCCGGGCGGTGCGCCGGGCATTACGGCGACTGTGGCGACCTCCTGCTCTTCAGGCGCTTGCTCTCAGGATCTGCCTGCTTCCTGGGCCTCGACGGGTGAGAGAACGCCTTCGGCGTGCGCATGACCCATGCCAGTGCCCGCTCCGACGAAAAAACAGCGCCAGTCTGAGCCCATAGTGAGCCTTGCCCGCATCGCCGATCGCCTTGAAAGTAGCCTCAAGCTACTGAACAAGACGCTGGGCCGGAGCCGAAACCACCATGCAGCCCAGCATACGCCCGCTGCCCGAGGTGCAAGTGTAGCTGGTGCCGGAAGGGATCATGACCTGGCCACCAAGTTGAACCACCCTGCGGAATCCAATTCCTTGGGGGTCATGTTCCAATCCCCGATGGCGAGTCATGGCCCCTGGACAGTGTTGAGCGACACTCCTACGTTCGGCAGCTTGGGTTGGCTCGAGGTCCGACTGAAGATGTCATATACGCTCCAACGGTCAACAAAGATTGGCGCTGCGCACGAAGCTTCATGGCAACCATGTCCCTGAAATCTATGCCAGGCTGCGCGAAACAACTGATCGAAATCGCGGAGCCCGACCTGCTCGTTGGGCGAACTGGCCAAATGGCGCGACGGAGCCGTCGTACAGTCGACTCGCATTGCAAGGATGAGCGACTTTCCAAGGGTGCCCTTGCATCCTTCCCCTTCGTCCCATCCGTGGCCACCTTCGCTGGCCGCGCCCCGCCAGCGAAGTGTCGACATGGCCCTCCAAGGACCTTGCATCCTCATCGCGCGTTCCTACGATACGGGTGGACTGCATATCCTCTGAGAGCTCCCATGGCGATTCCACCAGCACAGCCCTCGGCCCCCTGGGCACGCGACGCCGAGTGCACTCCCGCGTGCCCCGACGCCCTCCGCTCGCGCAGAGGGCCGCGGGACGCCGACGGGGTTAACGTGGGCCTCCGCCGTTACAGCCACCTCGGCGGCCTTCTCGCGACGAAGAGGGCGGGTCACTGGGCCGGCCGCCGGGGCGGCGGCGGCGGCAACGACGACGACGCTCGACGCTCGACGCTCGACGAGACGACGACGACGACAACGACGACGACGACGACGAGCCGACGACGACGAGTGGCCCACAGGTTCGAGGCTCAAGAGACGGGGGTCGATGCAAACGGGGGTCAGCCAGAGCGCCGGATCTTGCAGGATCCTGCAGGGCCAGAGTCGCATTGACCCGGGCTTGGGTGCAGGATCCTGCGGTATCCTGCAGGATCGTGCAGGATCCTGCAAACCTGACTGACCCGGGTATGGGTTGACCCGGGTCAGAAGATCCCCGACAGATGACGGACGACTGGCGACTGGGAGCAAGGCAGGGAGGGCGCGTCGGCTTCTCGGTCTCCATCACAAGACGGCCCGCCTGAGTCGAGAAAGAAGCTCACGCAGACTACCCCGAATGCTGACCGGCCACCGCACGGCGAGCTCTCGCCAGCAACTGCTCCGCTTCTTCAGTCAGTCGCTTTTCACTGGCCTCCAGCCTGTCCTTAGTGCTGTCGGAAGCTCCACCACTGGCACTAGACACTGCCGAAGAGGCTGCACCCGCTTCGACAGGCGTCTCGACAGCACTCGGCGCTGTCGGCGCCTATGATGAGGCCGCACTGGCGGCGGCGGCCGCACCTGCAGCCTGCTTGTCCGCCTTCCTCTTCTTGGCCGTCTGTCGGATTTAATCAAGTTTCGCCCAGTGTTCCTTCAGGTTCGACAGTAGCAGTTCATTGTCCGCACAGTGTCAGCTAACGCCTTAAGAATGTTCGTTTTGCGGCGACCCAGCTCCCCCATATCTGATGCAGACATAACACCATCATCGTTCGCAAAGTCCGAGCCCGAGGACATAGTGAACATATCAGGGTTGACAGAGCCCCCTGTCATACACAGCAGCGGTCCCAAGTCAGTGGCCGTTGCCCCAGATGGCTGTGGACTGCTGTCGTCATGTACCATCGCCTCGAAGAGTTCGGCACGCTCCTTCTCCGCAGCAGCCAGCGTACGAGCAGCATCAGCCATCACCTCGGATGCCTTCTCCACCTCGGGTAGGTCTCAGCTTGCTCGCCCTTGCCTTGTCCAAGGCCACCCTCGCCCTCTGGACCCTGGCCGCCGCCGCCGCCGTGCCCTCCTGGGCAGGCTGCAAACGAGTCTTGGCAGCCGTGTCCGGCAACTGAGCATCCAGCAACAACTTCGCCACCGAGGCTTGAGGACTGCTTGGTTTACCGATTGATGAGGGCCTCCAATTGTACGACCATGTTGTCGGCCTTCCCTTTGCCCGAGCCCTTGCCATTTCCTTGTCCAGGGTCCACATCCTTCCCCTGTATAGGTTGATTGGGCAAAGGGCGCTCCGCGCAAACACGTGCTCCTATGCAGTGGCAACTTGGACACCCGAGCCCAACAGCCACATGACGTGCAGCCCACTCTGGTATCGTCCATCTCTGCTTGGAATCGGTACGCTGAGAAGTTTGTGAAGGGGGTCGACTCGCTGTCCACCGAGGCCGAGGCTGCTCGACCCATGGCGGTGGTGGAGGGATCCACCAAGCTCCAGACCGCGGCTGCAGCCCTGGCTGGACGGGCTGGCGAAGCAGTCTACGGTTCTCCTTATGGCACCTCTTGCATCCTGCGTATCTGGCGGCCCTTCGGGCCTTTCTCCATGGCTTCACCGACTATTTGCGATCTGTGCTCCCAAGTCGGGAGTTAGGATCCTAGCCAAAGTCGCGCGGAGATTGTCGGGGGCCCCACAAGCCCCTGCGCGCCCCCTTGGCACGCAATCAGACGGAACCCAGACGGCTGAAAGCAGACAAGGGAAGGGGAGGAGGAGGAGGAGGAGGAGGTGGAGGAGGAGGAGGAGGTGGAGGAAGGGAAGAGAAAGAAGGGAGGAGGAAGAAGAAGAGTGGAGGAGGAGGCGGAGGAGGAAGGGAGGAGGAAGAAGATGAAGAAGAAGAAGAAGAAGAAGAGGAGGAGGAGGAGGAGGAGGAGGAGAAGGAGTGACGAGTCGTGCAAGAGAGCCCGCGCGCGCGCGCGCCCAGTCGGGCGTGCACCCGGCGGAGCCAGTCCAGTCGACGACCCAGCCGTGCTTCGGGGGCGGGCCCTGCGAGGCCAAGCGGGCGGAACTCCAGTTCGCGGCCTCGCCATCCTCCTCCTCCTCCTCCTCCTCCTCCTCCTCCGCCTCCTCCTCCTCCTTCCTCCTCGTCTTCACTCCTCCCTCCTCGTTTTCGTTTTTTCTCCTTCTCCTCCTCCTCCTCTTTTTCCTCTTCCTCCCTCCTCCTTCTTCCCCTCTACTCCCTTTCGTTATAGATAGCTCCTCCCAGTCACACCCAGCGGCTTGTTGAAAAGGCGGGCCGGGCGTTTCGCCTGAGACTTCCCCACACTTAATGATCCTGACGCTTGAAATTTGCAACAGCTTCACGGATGGAGGGCGGCCCGTCTTCTAAAAGTGGTTCTCTTCTTAGCGCCGCGCGCATTCGTTCTAAACGTTTGCAAGAGTTTCACGGATGGAGGGCGGTTCTTTTTCAAAATGTGGCTTTCGCTTCAACGCCGCGCACATTCGTGTCGCAAGTTTGCAACAGCTTCACGGATGGAGGGTGGTTCCTTTTCAAAATGTGCCTCTCGCCGTAGCGTTGCGCACATTCGCTTCAAAGTTTGCAAGAGCTTCGCGGATGAAGGGCGGTCCTTTTTCAACATGTGCGCCTCGCCCTAGTGATGCGCACATTCGTCTTAAAGGTTGACCAGAGTTTCGCGGATGGAGGGCGGTTCTTTGTCAACATGTGGCTCTCGCCGTAGCGCCGCGCACATTCGTCTTAAGAGCCTGTAGGAATTCAAGGGATATTATGGTTAGCGTCCTAGACGTAATGTTTTGGCACGATGTCGGAATGTCAGTGCGCAGCAGTCACGTTGAATCGCGGTGTTGAAGTCCCAGGAGCGGCATTCTGGCCCGATTCAGAATTGTCAAGACGCAACAGTAAAGGTGATTTGCGGCGTTGAGCTCCCAGGAATGATGTTCTGGCACAATTCTGGATTTTCAAACGGTTGTCTTCCAATGGGGCATGTCTTTCAGTGGGTATGAATCCGTGGAGGAGCATATGAAGATGGAACTTGGAGGGAGGGTTTATAGCAATATCGTTGGTGGGTATTGTGTCTTCAGTGGTTCTCCTCCTCCTCCCTCTTCCTCTTCACTGCTCCCTCCTCGTCTCTCTCACTCCTCCTCCCCTCCTCTTTCTCCTCCCCTCGTCCTCCGCGTCTTCCTCCCTCATCGTACTCCTCCTCCTCCTCCTCCTTCGCTCTCCTCCATCCACGACAGTTGAAAAGGCACGCTCGTCCACGATCAGACAGATCCGATGGTGCGCGGCGTGCGCTGGGGCGTGGCGCCGACCGGCCCGATCACGCAGCCCCTACGGGGCGACCCCCCTCCTCCACGGTCGGGTTTCGACTCGATCGGCTCGAACACTCCAGACCACCTTGGTCTAGGTCACCCCCCAGAGGCGCGAAGATCAAGTGGACGGCAGGTAAGTAGTCAGCCTGCCAGAAGGTGCCATCTCTCGGTGGCCCCAGGGGCCCACAGAAGCTCTGAGGCACCTCAGGGACTTCAGATACCGACGAGGGATGTGCCCCAGGGCTTCCTATGGCAAGAGGAGGAAGGAGGAGGAGGAGGAGGAGGAGGAGGAGGAGGAGGAGGAAGAGGAGGAGGAGGAGGAGGAGGAGGAGGAGGAGGAGGAGGAGGATGATGCCCGCGGGGTGAGGCGGACCGCGTCGAACCACGGCCACCCCTGCGAGGCGCGCGCCCCACGCGCGCCCGCGCCTCGGCGCAGCTACGCACCCGAGGCTGTCGGCCAGGCCTCACCCCGCGCGGCCCGCAGCAGCCTCGCCACCTTGGCTGCCAAGCCTGGCGAGCTGCTGCGCTCCCGCGCGCCGCGCCGCGTCCTCGGCCAGCCGCCTCCGCCGCCCGCAGCCCCTGCTTCGCTTCGAGCAGCAGAGTCACCTGCGGGCGGCATCCTCTCCTCCTGCAGCCCGCTCTCCATGGCCACGTGGTCGCCGCCCGCAGCCCCTGCTTCGCATCGAGCAGCAGGTTCCCCTGCGGGCGGCTGGACCTCCTCCTGCGGCCTGACCTCTGTGGCCTCGCGCGGCTGGGACGGTCCGCCGCCACTGCCACCTGCAACCACCTCGTCTCCTGCCTGTGCAGGGCCCGCCACAGGCCGCTGCCACTCGTCCTGCTGCTTGGCCACCTTGGCCACACGCCTCGGCAACTGCGAGGGCGGCGTCAGCTCGGCCAGCCTCGGTGAGCTGCTGCGCACTCGCGCACGGCGCCGCGCGCCTGGCCCTCCGCCGCCGCCCGCAGCCCCTGCCTCTCCTCGTGCCGCGGCGTGGCGCACCGCGGCTGCACGCCTGCCGCCGGCTCGCCCGCTCGGGCCAGCCGCTGCCCTGTAGTCCTCCGCTTCGTCCGCCAGCACCTGGACTCCGCTGGCCACGCGTGGCTGGGGCGGTCCGCCGCCGCTGCCCCCTGCAGCCACCTCGTCTCCTCTCTCGGCAGGGCCCGTCTCAGGCCGCTGGCTGCCCTCCTGCCGCCTGGCTACCTCGGCCGCCGTCCTCAGCGCCAGCGAGGGCGGCGTCGGAGCGTCCTGCCTCGGCGAGCTGCTGCGCACGCCCGCGCGGCGCCGCGGGCCTGGCCCGCCGCCGCCGCCGCCTGCAGGCCCTGCCTCTCCTCTTGCGGCCTCCTGGCGCGTTGCGGCTGCACGCCCTCCGTCAGCTCGCCCTCTCAGGCCAGCCGCACCGCGGTAGCCCCCGTGGGTCAGGGGACGCAGCAAGCCCGCGTCCTCACCGCCACCTGGAGCTCCTTCTGGCTTGCGCAAGGCGTGGCCGTCCTCCTCCCCCGCGACGTCCTGCGGCGACTGGCCTCTCACCTCCTGCACGTCGTCCGCCATCATCGGCGGGGGCGGACCGCCGCCGCTGCCACCTGTGGCCACCTCGTCTCCTCTATCTGCAGGGCCCGCCTCACGCTGGGGCCTGCTGCGGTCTAACCCCTCACCGCGCGGGGGACCGCCGAGTCTCGCACTGTCCGCATCCACAATGCTGCTGCCCACTGGCACGGCCATGGTCCCTCGCCTATGCCACTCTCTGTGTTCGCGGTTCACGTGGTATCCGCGGGCCAAGCCCTCCCCCTCGCGTTCAGTCTGACGGTTTCCCAGGGTATGGGTCCGCTCTGTTAGTTGCGAGGTCCTGTCTACCACACTGTTGGTCAAAAGATCCGCGTCATGCTCACTGGGCTCGTCAGGGACCTCAGCTCGTCCTCTCAGGCCAGCCGCCGCTCTGGAGCCCTCAGGGGTCAGGGGACGCAGCGAGCCCGCATCCTCCCCTGCCCCACCACCTGGAGCTCCTCCTGGCGGCCTCAAGGAGCGGCCGTCCTCCTCTTCCGCGATGTCCCGCGGCGACTGCCCTCTTCCCTCCTGCACGTCGTCCGCCAGCACCGTGATGTTGACTGCCACCTCACTGACCACCTTCGGAGCCAGCCCCTTCCTCAGTCTCGCGACTGCGGCGGCACCTGCAGCCGACGGGACACTCCTGCACTCGAGGTGGAAGGAGCTCGCTCTGGCCGCGCCTGTGAAGCCGCACGCCCTGCAAGCGACCAGCGGCATCCTGCGCACCAGCATCCTCCAATCCACAGGCGCAAGGAGCACCAGGTCGTGCGACGCCCTCTGCTGCGCCTTCAGCCTGTTGTTGGCCCTGATCGCCTCGGCGACGATGCTGCCAGGGCACTCACCTGATCTGCCTGACCATCTGCAGACCTCGCACCAGGGACGCTGGCCAGGCAGCCTCCGCCAGACGCAGGCCATCCTCGCCGCTGGCTCCTTGCGCACTGGCAGGGCTCGCCGCACCTTCGTCTTGCCGTGCGTGGTGTCGCTGCCGTCGACCCAGCTGCCGACAGCCGCGCACCACATGGCTGCTCGTTCAACCACGTCACGGCTCCTCTCCAGGCGCTCTCTGTCCCTCGCGGGGAGGCGCCCGCTGGCCGCCGCAGCCTTTGCCGCCCTGTCAGCCAGTCGGTTGCCGTACCAATCTCTGTGCAGCACCTCGCCTGCCGCCACCTGCCGCCGCGTACTGTGGCTGGGCATCCACCTGAGGCTGACCTCTTGCCCGAGACCTCCTCGCTCGTCCAGCAGGTCCCAAGCTCGCCTCCACAGATGCGCCCACGTGTACGCGTAGCCCGTGGTGCCTACCCTGCCGACCTTGTAGAAGCCGTCGTAGACGTACTTGGAGTCGACCACCAGCACCGTGATCCCTGGCCAAACCTGAGCGCCATGATCACCGCCGTGAGCTCCCCGCCGTTGATGTCCACGCAGTGGCCCTCCATCTGGCCAGCGATGGAGGCCTTGTAGCCGTCGCTGTGCGCCTGCAGCGCCACCACACTCCAGCCAACTGCCGCCACCTCCTCGTAGTCCGCCTCGAACGCCGAGCCGTCGAGAAACAGCTCGCCTTCAGGAAGGGTGCCTCCTTCATGGTCGCCCTTCCAGCACACGTCGCTGCACACTGGCGGTCGGCGGATGCCCCGTGGTGTCGGCCACAGGCACCTCTCCAGCAGCAACTGCACCTCAGGCCTCCCGCCCTGCCTTCGGAGACCTGCCAAGTCCTCTGGGACGGTCAGCACCTCGCTCCAGCACGGGCAGTCGAAGTGCCTGTGCATCAGCGTGCCCCTGGCGCCACACCTCAGGCACCCAGCACTGGGCGCCAGCCCCTTCTCCTCCTTACGCGCCTGAGTCCACTGCCCGTCGATGATGAGGGACCTCAGGTAGGCCTGCTCACGCGCCGTCAACCGAACTCTGGTGCGAGGTGCTCCCTCCTCACGGCGTGGCTCGTTGGCTTTCCTGGCACAGCCAGAGGACGTGAGCCTGACCAGGGGCTCCAGCTCGCCGCCACCCGCCAAGTGCGCGCAACCTGGGGCTTTGCTGACCTGCCTCCACTGCCAGCGCTGCACTGCTCTCCTCATCAGCTTGGCCACGACCCACGGCGCGCAGTCGAAGGGCGCGATGGCCTCGCCGTCGTCCATGACCCAGCGGTTGGCGGCGACGACGTCCCATCCGATCCTCCTGAGGGAGAGCACCGTCGC